CAATAACAGCCTCCGCTTATCGTTTCCTGTGTGATCATCCCTCGGGGAGGAATATTTTTGCAACTTATGAAAACATACTATCATCCCCTGCTACGTAATTATCTATGTCCATCCATATGCCGCTCGACCTCGTTGTCATCCAAGTGGCGTGATATACCAATACGGGCGTTCTAAACTGCATCCACCAACATCTCCAATGCAACAACGCTCATGGAGGTTGCAATTAGATCAGGCACCACAGTTGAAGCAACAGAGGTGGACGTTGACCCTGTCAAACCCCGTCATGATGACGGCTCTGTTCGGGCATGACTACAGACGTGGGTGGCCTTGATCCTCTCGACAATACCAAATCCCGTAGACTCGCGCTTACCGCTTCAAGAAGCCGAATAGCTGCTGTACCATGACCTCAAGGTCATGTCGCTGAAGTCGAGCTCGTGTACCTCGTGACTAGTGTACTAGGTTCTCATGTACATAGGGGTAAGCGGGATTCGTAGTTGGCGTTCTCTTGGAATGGCGTCACTCGAGACTGGGATATAATATTTATGACGTGTCGTATGCTGCACTTTCGAACGCCGCTGGCTGTGAAAAGAATCTTTCCATCGAGGTTTGATAGGGTACAGCGGGGCCGGTTTCCGGATGAAGTCGTAGGCTTATCGGCGTCCCGAGAAACACACCGTATATAGACCGGGGTGGATTCGCACGATGTCTAAGTTGCCCAATGAAAAAGTTGGTCGTCGTTGTATATTCATTTCTTTGTTCTGCTGCAGCCCTTGACCGGGGGAGGAGTGTTGAAATGCGAGGCTCAAGTCAAGATCTATCTCCCAGCAATGCACCGTGCTACCTGTCACGATGCATAAGTGAGTCACTCATTCTCGTCGGCTAAGTCGCTTGAAGACGAGCTCCTTCGAGAACCGTCTCTGGCACGAATCGGGAAGCCCGCCTTTCCTTCCGACCAATCATCATCGAAACGTGACCTAACTATTGTCAGTTGTCCCCCAAGCCTATTCCCCAGGTTATGCGTACCTAAAATTGACCAAAAAGTGCTCCAAGAATAGCGCAAGAAATATAATATTCAAATTATGACATAATTTGTTAGCGAATTGTCCAAATTGAATTGGTATCTCTAAGCCTCTTGGACCCCTAAAATGCGGCTGCATCCGACGGCAACAACCCCTGGTCTGAGCTCGCGCACTCGGTTGGGGTGGAGGGGGTTTGCGGAAACCCCGAAGCGCCGGCAAGGGCTACGATTTCGGATCCGTCTTTATCTCCTATACTCCTCTTACATGAGGAGCGGTGTCTTACATGCTTTTACAGCCGAGACCTACAGGCGGTGACGGCGGAAGGCCAGGGCCGCCACCCCCGGCCTTGTCTAAGATTTCGCGTAGCTGCATGGACTCGATCGAGACAGTCTACCCGGTGCAGTTACCCTAACATCTCCTGATATCTTTCCGTAGAGGACCTCCACGCCGCCTAAACACGACACAATGCCAACGGCTTAATGCATACTAGGTACGGCCTAGGAATGAGTGGCGTAATATTAAGAAGTAATGTCGGGATATGGGAGGTTAGGTATGTTGCCCGTGAAGGGTGATTACTCTTATTCTATGCACCTGCTGCCCAATGAGTTCCCCGGGCAAAATTCAGCGCTTTTGTTTTAAGGAGAGAAGGTAAGATTGGTGATGTCAGAGACCCTTTGTCAAGCCATGTGGCATTGGACGTGTCCTTTCCAAGTGACGTAACTGCCCTGAGGACCCTTCGGACGATCAATGCAAGTGGCGTCTTCCTACTGTGCAGGACTGGTCTTGTGATAGGTAGTCGCGTCGGTTTCTCACGGAGAGGTTTGACCCTCTTCGTCCCTTCTTTTTTGGCCTCTTAACCGTTGGCCCGTTAAGTTGCGGGATGGTAACACGAAATAATTGTCAGGCAGGTTGATATGTGACAGATGTGCATCTATCGCCTCACCTTATTCGCTGCCCCAGCCATGGGTCCTTGATCGGCAATTGATATCATATCAGAGAACGGACGGGACGAGTTCCGTTACCGAGGCGGGTCCCAGTGTCCTGGAGGCGAGGAAAGCTGGTTCTATGCGTGAAATTGAGATATATGCCTCAATTAAACATACAATACCTTAATGTGACAGACAAGTGGGAAAGATACTCGGAGTAGGTTGGTATGTAGGTATGTAGGTAGATGGATGGATGAATGGATGGGAGGGAAGAATGCGGTTGCGTATGTCGTTGCGACTGCTGCTGTCACCTTGTAAGACGTTTGCGTCAGTCATGTGTATAGCAGATGCAGGACCCCTTCGGGGTATTCATTCGCAGGGAGCGTGCCCCCCGCGTAGATCTTGGTTGCCTTCCTTGCGAGCTAGAATAGATCCCATGCCATATTGTACATGCCACATGGGCAAGATGTCCAATCACAGTTAGAGATATCGCAAACATATCCGAAAGCGTGCTGAGAGACGCCATGACGGCTAGGGTACATCTGCAGATCGAACCGCCTTCCCATGGCTTGGTATGAGTAGAACGGGTGAATCGGGAGCTGAAGACTGACGTCTTGTTGCATTCGCGTGAGCACAGTGAGACGGAGAGAACCCTCGAAGGACCCTCCTGTATCCATTTCCAAGCCTTGATTTCCCGAACGAAGGATGATAGATAGATTAGCTTTAGGACCCTTATCTTGATGTCAGGTAGTAGGCCGAATCCGTGTTGCACTCCGCGATGCATATGCCAGATGGATGTGGATGTGGAGGTGGAGAGGGAATGCTAACACTTCCACTTCCACTTCCACTTCCATCTCCCCCCCCAAAAAAAGCTTCAGCTTTTCTGGAAGAGGGCAAAGCGGCTGTGGGAGCGGAAAGTGACACAGGAGGCTGCAGATGAAGTTATCAGCTGACCCAGCGTGAGCCAAATCATGGCATTACACATTACACGACGAGTTACTGTCCGACTTCAACCTGTCAACCTGCGGGAAAGGAGGCGCATCGGCGTATCGGCGTATCGCAACGTCAGAGCTCTCAAGCGAAGCATGGAACAATGCGACTCCCACATCCGGTATACTATTAGGCTGCTAGGTAGGTACAGTACATACCTAGTAATCTCCACCTAGACACACCGAGATTTCAAACTTCTTGCAAGTTTCGTAGGCCGGTCATTCCTCTCTCACTCTCTCTATCTCTCTCTACAGTAAACATGGTAAAAAGTATGTGTCGCATACTGTGGGGGTTCGAAGCCCGGTCGTTAAAGCTGCAGCACTGCTGAATTCGGTCATCGGACGAGACGATTCTGGAATACTACAACTGTAAGTTTAATAATAACTTCCAAGTTGTTACCTATAGCCCTGTTACAGGCCTGCTAGGCATGTATAACACATGCAGCATAACAATGTGGCAGTGTGGAAGCATGGAGAAGAATCTGGCTTAAGTGGCAGAGTTGAAAAGAAGGTGGGAACATTGAAGAGATGCAAGCCGGCTGCAAGGATCTATCATAAGCGATCGGCCCAACCAACCCCACGGATAGCCCCGCACTGAACCCCAAGATCTTCAAACGTTCTTTCCTTGTCCTGCTTGTCCACCTATTTTAGGTACTTTTGATGGTTATGGTTGTTTAGTTGTAGGCAATCGAGGCAGCAGCGTAGTGGCTTTGGTGGATTTCAAAGTTGTTTTCGAGATCGGCCCACCGCCTCCTGCGCTTGCCGATTTTCCAAGGTGTGCCTGGCTTTCCGTTTCGTTGACGAAGAGATAGCGTACAAATTATACAGGTGGATAATAAGATACGCGCGCTATACCTTGCTAGCATCACTATAACCCCGCATGTTCATAGGTATAGAGATTGTACTTGGGTTGGGTAGTAACGAGATTAGGGTGTTCCCGGCAAGCAAACCAATAGTATGGTAGAAACATATACAGGTATAGGATGGATAATTCCTATCCCGTGTATCGAAAAGATTGGGTTTGCTACCAACTAGCTACACCATCTAGCAGCTATTTGTAAAAAGGCGCATAGATTTGTGGCATCTAGAGTACTCGAGCATGAGATTGCCTAGGTAGTAGTAGAAACATCGCCCACACCTACATCCACATCCACATCCACATCTACCCACTTGTAGGCAGGTATCCGATCCAGCCAGTGAGCATTTCTGATTTGACGTGCCTAGCATTCTCAGACAGATTTAGAGCTTGCTAGCTCGCCTAGTTGGTCTAGTAGGTACATGAAGGAAAAATGTGTGAAGAGTTAAGACGGGATGTGCTTCGTCATGTTGATTGACGTAAGGTTCCATTATTCATTATACATAACACATTCAGTGTTCATAGTACCTAGTATGCGTGTCTTATGTACCTAGGTATGTACCTACTAGGTAGCATACATCTGTACATTTCGCCCGCGCATGTACTGTTAGACTTTCTACATACTACCAAGGTACCTACCTAGGTACCTATCCTTCTATTGTGTGTTCCAAGGTTCCTCCAGGGCTCGGAAGGAACTCGTCAGAATTGGACAAACTCAACCTTCGAGAAACCTTATTCGTCCGTGCATTCGGGTGTTCCTGCCTGTCATACGGGCTGTAGATCGGGTACCTGGCAACTGGCAACCTACACGTTACCTACCAGCATCCATGGATCGTACGCAATACACACCAATACACACCAATACACGATTTGCTCCATACGCACCTCCAGCTACCTACTATTTCCAGCTTAGAACATTTAGAATTAGAGACTTCAGTGTTAGGAAGACCTTTCCGGGGAGGGTACAGGGTGACAATGTGATACACTAGCTTAAGTATACATATGTACCTTAGATCACAGGGTACATATATTTGCGCCTTATTAATGTACCTAATGGACCCTATTACGTGCTTCATCCCAGAAAATTCAGCGCTCAAGCGATATTCGTTTCCGTTTCGACGTTCCCCCTTTCGACTATTTAAGGTTGACAGTTTCCTCACCCGTTCCCCTCCGAGCCTTCCAGTCTGACGTAGTCTACTCAAGTTGACTTTTAGCGGTTTACTTAATCTTAAGGTAAGTTCGGCCTTGCCCTCCATTCCTTCCTCATCTTTGAGCCGCCCAGGTACCCATTCGTATATCCGCAGAAATAAAAAGACGCTAAAACAGCCCACCGCAGCTTCGTAAACTCTTTCACAAATTTCTCGACTTGCAAAGAAAATAAGAACTTGATATTTTCTATTTCTAGAGGCATCTCTTAATTTATTTGACTACACACACCTATATATACACAGTTCGTCATAATGGGTGTTACGAAGACCATCATTCAGGAGGGCACTGGTGCTCAGCCTGTTGCTCGTCAGACCGTCACTATCGAGTACACGGGCTGGCTCAAGGACACCTCTAAGCCTGACAGCAAGGGAAACAAGTGAGTTTTCATACATCCAGTTATCACTTAGACATTGAAGCAACTACTTGGCATTCAGGCTGAGTGTAGTTGGGGGTTTATGACAATGAACTAACCATTTTTTAAAAAATCAAGGTTTGACTCTTCTGTTGGCCGAGGTGACTTTGTCACGCAAATTGGTGTTGGCCAAGTCATCAAGGGTAATATTCCCTCGCTCTTCTAGAACCCGTTTTATGTTAGGACTGACAACTTAATCAATTTAGGTTGGGATGAGGGTGTCCTCACCATGAAGGTCGGTGAGAAGGCCACTCTTGACATCAGCAGGTATGATATCACCAACTACCACCACTAAATTTAGGCATTTAGACTAACACATAATTACAGCGACTTCGGATATGGAGCTAGGTAAGATTTATTAATCGTTCTGCATCGTACATTATTCTTAATACCCACCCGTCCGATTCCCCGGCTCCGTCCCTGGAACCCCAACGACTATACCCCTAAGAAACGCTCAGCTTACGAATTATTCAGGGGCTTTACTGGCCACATTCCTCCTAACTCTGACCTAATCTTGTAAGTGCCGTCTTTCGAAGAGGACATAGGAAACTGCCCCAATTTTAGGATTATGCGCTGATTTCTGGCTTGCAGCGACGTTCATCTCAAGAAGGTCCAGTAGATACCATTATGGTAGTTACCTCTTGACGGAATGGAGTTTTCGGTCCATATTATCTGGAATGGATACAGGACAGGAGGTTCTCTCGCTTCGGACATGTCTATTTTTTTCGGGCTGCATGCAGCATGGGTTAGGGCGGCTTCTGTGTGAGAGGGAAGATTAAGACAATAAGACTATCGTTGATCACTGAAATTTTCTATTCGCCTGTGCTCTTAGAGACCTGCGTGACACCTTGCCAGTTGTCTGGGACTTGCAGCTGGGCCAAGTGCTTTTTGCTATCTCTTAAATGCAAGCTGCATCGCACCGATGATCCTCTGCCCTTACAAACTCTTCCGCCGAAACTCGTACTAGCCCAAATCGAGGTTACCTGCCGAATCTCGGTTTCACGGCAGACGGCGGTTACGATAAAAATGCGAGTTTTGTGGCCGAATCTACTCGGTATGTCTTGTGCGATTAAGACACGATTGAACGACCCTCTTTTTATATCTGATCTCGGTACCGATAGTTAGCTGGGTTCATACCCAAGTTCCCGTGCCCTACCGGCCTACGTCCCAAGCATTTGATGTGTTTCACACATCGAATTCTAGCGTGTTTAAGATCTCGTATCGCAGGTGAATGACTTAGTACTGTATCTGGGTAAGTACCTAGTAGATACAGGTATTTGAAGATGTTGATTTAGTTGCCGTATACAAGCCGATACAAGTCAGGTTTCGCTTAGGCGTAGGTATTTCGCCGCGGTCGTCAGTTACACATAATCTAAGACAACTCTGTCTACAAATCTGCCTACGACAATGCGATCGCCCGACGTTGGCGTCCGCCATTGTAACACCATGGCCGCTTCCAGCCGCTTCCATCTCACATCGAACAGATCTAGGCAAGTTTAGGCTTTATTATTGTGACCATTGCGTAGGTAACGTGTAATGGAAGGCGAAGAATGGGGGCTGTTCTATGTATTCAAGCTGTTTTCTACCTACCATACTGCGAAAAGAAAAAAAGCAAGATTTTTCTCTCTCGTAATGATGTCGGGATCAAGTTATTGATGTTGATCTCAATCCTTCCCTACTAATCGCGGTCTATAATTGAGAGTTCCATGGATCGTGACAGGAAATAAACCCATGCAGATATACCTATGATAGGCTTTCACACAAGAGAGATGACGGGTTGATAGGAATTGCAGCATTGCGACTATCGATACCGTATAAGGCGAGGCAACTTAGCGACAACCGCCAAAGATTATCACACTGGGGTTGAAGGAACGCAGTCATTGCCGTGTTGAGAACTACTCGTACAGCGATTCGAACTTGACAAACGGGCATCTATTACGTAGGTACCTGCATACAAATTCAATCTCCAAGTACCTATCCAGAACCCCTCGAAATGGCACCCCTGATTCCCCCCTTTCCGTATCTTATCGACAGGTTCAACTCTTACAGAAACGCGACGATCTTCTCGGGCGGATGGAGTGCCAACATGAAGACGACATTAGACTAAAGAACATTTATTTATAACATGTCTATACCTATTAGTTAACCCCATCCAAATATCTATCCATCTATAAACCCTATTATCTCTTTATGCCACAGGAATACATCTCACGCCTTATCGTTCAGAAACCTCTCCAGATCTTCAAACTCCCCGCTGTGCTTCATCATGTCGTAAAACTGCCCTTTCGTCTCGTAAAGCTCTTTCGGACTCCCGACTCTAGATATTAGGTTAGCTGATAATGAATATATAGTGGATTTAGGTATATGGGAATACGCACTCGAGGACGGAGCCTGCGCTCATAACTACCACACGATCGTAATCGATGATGGTCTTCAGTCTGTGAGCAATGGTGACCAGAGTCCTGTCTCTTCCGTACTCATTTAGCTCCTTCCTTAAAACCTCCTGGATTCCCTGGTCGGTCTCGTAGTCCATCTGTGGTATCGATATTAGTAATTAAAATAGCCGAGAGGGAGTAACAAGTGATATAAACATACGCTTGCAGTCGCCTCATCTAACAACATCAACTTGCTCCCGCGCACCAAAGCCCTGCAGAGCGAAAGCACCTGTCGCTGTCCGTGGGAGAAATTCTCGCCCTTCGGCTTCACGGGGGTCGAAAGAGTGATACCAACGTCACTGGGTGATTCATCGGAGTAAGTGTCGTTATCTCCAATAAGCAGTCCGTCTCCGTTTTGCGCGCGCTCGGCGTTCTGGTGGTATTGGAACGATGCGATTCCGCTACAGTATTGCAGCGCTTTCTCGAGCGTTTCCGTGGGGATTTCGCCTGTCGGATCTAGGTTTGATCTAACATCTCCGTTGAACAGTACCGCTTCTTGTGGTATAATCGTGAGTGCTTCTCGAAGCTTCCTGCGTGGCAGCATTGTGATATCTACACCATCGAAGAGGATTTGTCCGGAGACGACATTGGTGAAACGCAGTAAAGATAAAACCAACTATGAGATTCGCAGGTTAGTATACCATCGTCTTTGGTTTCGGACATTTTACTTACTGTACTCTTTCCAGAACCAGTCCGTCCTACGACTGCGACTCTCTCGCCGGCTGAAAATTTGAGGTTGATGTCCTTTAAGATTTCCGGTCCATCCAGGTCGTACTTAATAGTCACATTGCGGAACTCGACTTCGCCAGTTGTTGGCCAATTATGAGGCACCGCGGATTCGGGGTTATCGGAATATTCGGTAATTTTCTTGACCTCCTCTGGCTTCTCCTCGGGCTCAACAGAGGCATATTCCCGCACTCGGTGGAACTTGAAATATGTTAGCATAGTGATTCCAAGAAAGCTCATTTCGTCCAACTTACGCTCTGCATCTCGATTTCAAGTTCGTTACTTGCTCTTACAAGCATAATGATAAGTTGACTTAGAGTCTAATTGACATATTAGCAAGTTAAGTCTGATACCCTTTGGGAATAATAATTGGCTTACCGTCGCATTCGACAACGAAAATCCAACAACACCTGCAGCGATAAGACCTGCTTTCGACACCGCAATGGCACCGGCGGCGACAGTGACTAGCGTAGTCATCATGTCGACCTTGAGCGCAACCCACCTGTTGCAATTGAACTGAGCTTCGGAAGATCTCTCGAATATTCGCAGCTTATCTGCCAGTTGCTCGCCGAAAGTCTGAGCCATGTTTGCGCGAGCGCGAATTATAGGGAGACCAGCCAGAGTATCGGCGAAGTGCGCGAACAGAGGCGATTGCGACGACGACACGAGCCGTTTGACCGCTACAGCTGTCCTTGTGTACAATTCTCCCGCCACAATCCCAACGGCGCAACAGGCGGCGGCCGGCAACATGAAGACTGGAAGTACGGAGCCGACAGCTACAATTTGAAGGCTAAGGCGTGTGAGCGTTTCTACACCCATTCGAAGCACTATAATATCCTATATTAGCTTCTGAAGAGGGAGTAATTGCATCAATAATTGCGGAGATTTACTTACTACCAGCCACTTGGTTATCAATAGAATCCATGTCCCTAGAAAATCGATTGACCACTCTGCCAATAGGCGTCGCCTTATACCAAGAAAGGGGGACGCTCAGCACTGCCTTGATAAAAGTAGTGTGCAGCGTCCTTGCGGCGTACCAACCGCCGTTCTCGTATGCGATATATGTCAAGCCACTGAAAAGGACGTCTGCGATACTCCATGCAGCGTAAATACCGAGGTAGAATCCAATATTATACGCATCATCCTTCCCATAAGCGTCTACCCAGACGGCAATCCACAATCCTGTCCCGACAAAGGAGGTGGTGGAAAGGATACTCATCGAAAGAGCTAGCATGGCGTAGAACGGATTACCGAATAGTCGCATGTATTGGAAAACTTGAAAGATATCTCGTTAGTTTATTTTGGGGCCAATGAATAGATCGACTGGTTAGGAGATACTCACATTGTAACCGGGCAGTTGGACCAGTCTTCAGAGCTTCCTGTGTAACCTCATCTCGGCGTTTATCTTCGGCACTTTTGAAGTCACCATTAGAGCTTACGTTAGAACTTCCATTGAGCGTCGTGTCATTGCTTTCGGCGGTATGAGTCGCAGCCGCTTCCACGGTCTCGTCGAGGTTGCCTTCGTCGACAAGGGTCTTGTTGAGCGTTACGGATTTTCGGACCACGCCAAGGTTCTGCTGGATATCCTTTACTGAGCCGTTCTCTAATGTTACTGTTAGGTCTGCTTGGGGCGCAATCCATGGTAATTGTGTTACGAGTACAACGGTTCTTCCCTTAACTATAGGTTTACAGTTAGTACTTGCTAGTTGATCCCTTCAAAAGATTCTTTTAGGCTATAAGGTTTCCAATGTGTTTTCCTCGGCTTCAGGAGTTGTAGGGAACGCAATGCAATACGAAGAATACTTACGTAGGTCGCCGCAGAAAGCCTCCTCCCATAAAAATGCCGACGTTTTGGAATCAAGAGCGGAAAAGACATCGTCAAGCAAAATCACGGACGCTTTCGAGTACAGAGTTCGCGCGAGGGCAACCCGAGATTTCTGGCCGCCGGATAACGATGCACCGTTCTCTCCGACCTCAGTACCATCTCTTTCCGGAAATTCGTCGAAGTCTATCGGCAACCCGCAGGCGTTGATTACTCGGTCATATCGTGCTTGCTCGAAAGGACTGTTGAAGAGGATATTGTCGCGAATCGTCTCATTTTGCAACCAGGGGCTCTGGGACGCATAAGCAATGTCTTCGGGACATGTGATTGTGCCATTCTCTAAGAGAGTCTCGCCCAGAATCGACATGAGTAGTGTTGTCTTGCCACTCCCACTCTGACCTGTTATCACATTTAACCCACCCTCAACGAAATCGATAGAAATATTTTCTAGCCCAAATGAAGCTTTCTTGTGACGCCTGAACGTCGCTTTGCTGATTTGAAGCGGGCCAACAGGATGAGACTGTAACGGCGTAGTACTGTTTAGGTAGCGGTCTAAACGTTTGATAGAGACACCTGCGGCGGTGAAACCTCGTGACATGTTCGACGCCATCGAAAGGTTTCGGCGGAGAGTCCTAATTAATGTAATGGCTGTGAAGGCGACCTCTGCTGTTAGCGGTTCTTTGCGCACAAGTACCTGTAAGGTAAAGATAAGTACTAGTGATAGATTCGGAATCGCCTCGGTGAGTTGATTCAGGGTGATATAACTAGCAAGTTTCGGTTAGTACTTCGCCAAAAGATATGTCAGGAGTGAAGCAACTCACGTCATGTTTAAGGCCCATATCTTCTTCTGTTCACCAAGCCTGATTTCGTTGACTCGCTTGATGATAGCCTCCTCCCAAGAAAAGTATTTGATCGCTCGGATCGAAGCTAGATACTCCGAGATGACTGAAATTCTCGAATCCTGTATTCGTTTCATGTCACGTTGGATACCAGCCATACGCCGGGCGATTAGAACCGGAAAGGGCGAAAGTACTAGCATTGTAACAATACCAACGAGAGCCGTCCAGTCTAATAACTTGTACAATCCAATGAGAGCCACGATGGATCCGGACGTCACCCCGAAGGCAACGAGAACGACGTCTCGGCCCCTCGCAATAGTATCCACATCGGCACCCATGAGATTTGCTAGGCGACCTGTCGAGGTAGTGGTTTGTTTACTCTTTTCTTTTTCCTTGTCAGTAGCAGCGATCTCGGCAAAGATCTCGTCGTCTAATTCCATAGATCCCAATGCTTTATAGTATAACTCCTGGGTCAACGCAGCTCTAACACGCACAAGCAAACGAGTTGATTTGAATACGTATTGCTGAAAGCACACAGAACGCGACAGTGGTCCTATGAAAAGGAGCGCTAGCCAGACCCATGGCCGGAACTGAGATCCTTCTGGGTCAGAAAGGTAGCGAAGCAACTCGTACATAGCGTAGGGAGCGATCATTTCAAAGATGAAAGATAACGCAATCCAACAGCCCATGGTGATGACTTCTCGATGTAGGAAGTATACTAAGGTCCAAAATGTGGACTGGCCTTTTCGCCGCGCCTCCTGAATTCTAGAAAGCAGCACGAATGGCTCATCATACCAAGGAAGATTAGGAAGTTCTTCTAAGGTCATCTGTCGACGCAATCCCTGAAGCATGAGAGGCGTAAGCCATTCGTACGTCACGTAATATTCCAACCAGCTGCATGTTTCTTCGGGGGACGGCTCTCGGGTTGGTATTTTCTCAGAAATATCAAGATCTAGTGATGGTGGTATCCATTCCCTTCGCGTGGCGAAAGCTACAAATACAGCGGCAGCCAGTGTTGACATGCTACATATCATCATTGCGCTCATACTCCCGTCATGATCCGTATCAATGTAGGGGAGAAGCTCTCCTAAAGTAAGGATGAGTAGGGAACCAGCGAGGATGAAATTGGTGTGATGTAAGGCAATGTGCCTCCACTCGAGATCGTAAGCCAGGCGCAAAACACCAATGACGAAAGCATAGGCTAAAGCGGTCGCATCGGTCCACCTGCCTTCGCCTTTAACAGCGGCAACAATCATAAAAGCCAACGAACTAGCTCGCAGGAGCTGGCTAGATAGTTCGAATATCCATGATACCGCATGCACATTGGATTCGGGCCCAGAGACCTTGGAATAGGGTCGGTGAAGAAGATATCTGACGATAACCAAAAAGGACGCAATAATAATAGTAAGCTGTAAGTACCCGGCTCGGGTAAAATCCGAGAGGTCATGAATCCATTGAAGACTCGAAATACTATTTGAATTCATTAGAACATCTGCCTGCTCTCGAATGATCGGGGATAAGGGATGAGCATCTAGTTTACCTAGTCTTTCCGTACGTGCTGTTTAGAGTATAGAGCGATTGCGATCGAAGGGGAACAGAGTCCCAACCGTAGTCCCTAAAACCGAATTGATGCATGACTTCTCATGGCAAAGGCTAAAAGAAAGAAGGTATCGTGAGCTGTAACGGATTTCCTAATAAATCAACATGAAAATCTCGATGAGAAAGCTGTTAATACTCGGATAATTGCGTGCCCGGAGGCTAACCACCATCAGGATAAGCTGGAGCCTGGGGGTACCTAGTAACAGGATACCCTTGCCAAGAGGGTAAAAGTAACCTTAATAATTGCCTGAAGCTATTCTGACGTTTATTGCACCGTATACCATAGAACCATAGAATTGGCTACATAAAATTGTAACTTGGATAGTCTATATTAATTGTAAGGATGTAAGATTTCCATTTGTCATTGGAAGAATTAGGTGAATATTTAGGTAGTAGGTAAGTAGCGCCTAGCTTCCAAGGTTCAGGGGTCCTATGTACCGGAATTATGTCAGTCTAGAAGTCTGGAAGGTCTAGAAGTGGTAGGTAAGGAAGAGCGAATGCTCCCCAATGCGCTTCGCTTCTTCGGTCGACTCTGATTGACCTGGTTGACCTGATTGACCGGATTGACTCACCAATTCATTTATCTTATCTATACTTCACAAAGTCCTAGATATTCGACGATGAACCATTGGAACATTGCGACACACCTATAGATGAGTGGATGTCTTCCTCATTCGGTTGCACTGCAGGCTTCCGCATCCTCTTTCACCTGTCTGCTTGTGTTCGGCCAGTCTGGAAGCGTCGGATTTAGGGCGGATACGAGATTAGCGGACCGAGGACAACAAAATTCGACATATCTTATTCGTCCGGTGTCCCTCTTCATCTACACATATCCAACCGAGTCTAGCGACTGCGCCTCAACGGACATATAGCAACCAGCCCGGTGTGCTTAGTCTCTCACCGTCACTTTGAAAACTTTGTGTGTCCGCCCGAGTGCGATCATCGCAGCGAGTTTTCGGCGAATCAACATCCAGTATTATGGGATCATACCTTGTCATCGATCAAGCAATAGGCTTCGAAGTCGGACGTAGCGTAGTATTTTTTTTGTTTTTGAATTAATGAGGGTCCGATAGTATCCGCAGCTCAACGCATTAGTTTCCGGATCGGACCCCGGAGCGGCGGTCTTAAAGCTGACAAAATCCATGGTCAACTAGGGACTATGCGAAGCCGGAAGTACCGACTATGCAGCTTCTATCCAACCACCTAGACAGCAAGATATAACATGCTGTATCCTGTATCCTGGGTTGCCGGTAGTTGACTTTGATTTCATCGGGCGGGTATATTCTCCAATGTTCTTTTGAGCATTGGATGTCTAATACGATCGCATATTAGCTCAGTTTATGGTACGAATATAAACTGGCCAGCGAGTTCGTGAGTTTGTGACTGTAAACCTCACTCCTCATTGCGGTATACAATGGAATTGCCGAGGCTCGTAGGGAAAAGGCAAGAGGCATGGACGAGAGTGAGACATTGAGTACATGGAAGCCGTGATAATAAGTGGTAAGTTTGATGTGAATGGATACCTGAACTGAAGGTGGATCGATTCATGTGCCTCATCATAGATCACAGATTCCCTTGCCAACCTTAAGAGGTTACTATTGATTAAATTATTGGAGAATTTCAACAGCTTGTTGAAGGTAAACCAAGTGATATGGAAGAGGGGGCTATAAAGGCAATAAAGAAGAAGGTAAAAACGGTAAAAACAAGGAAAGAAGATCTGATCAAGCATGAGGGGATCGGAATAAGATATCATATTTTCGGAATACACTAAGACCGATCAGAGTATCAACTGTGCCTCTTGGCGCAGAGCTTGTGGTCTGTCTATGCATGATGTTGTTGAGTCTTGGCGAGATGCCGTCAAACCAGAATGGTAGTTTCGATTATAATTACAACTGCCGACCTCGAAACAGTAGTACTCTCTGCAGCCAACAATTATAATGACACTTCAATGTCAAAGGAGAGGAGTCTTAGAAAAATAACTGGTGACCATATCCATATATTTCGGAGATTGCTGGTATCAATAGGCAGAGATGGAAGATCAAAAAGTGACAGGTTATAAATCTTCATGACTCGAGAGTTTGCCTAGATGCTTGTCTAACTAGCCACAAGCACTAGTACAGACAAAGGTGGCTAGTGTGTATTAAAGTGGGACACTGTATAGTTAATGTGGCTGCGATATCAAGGTTCTAATTGTTCAATGTTTCGTACCTTCTACGAAAAATGATGACTTCAAAATATTTAAGATGACAGGTTAAAACGACGTGAGTCACGCGAAACGCGACACGAAAGACACATAATCAACGAGCATACGACCGAAATACTATCTACCTTATTCGGCGAAATGAAATGCGAACGATATCTTAATATATCGCTCGTTTCTGCCTGTTGGGACTCGCGTTAACTTTCTCGACTCCTGCCTGCATTACCCTAACCAAGCCATCGAAGTCATCGCAGTCGTCAGAGTCATCCAATTTGTCTCCAACCATTCATCGGCAGGATTGAAAAATCGACACCATGGACGACGATCTCACCGAGCTCGAGCTCCTATCGCTTGTGTCGAAGGTCACACATGAACTCCAGAATCATTTAGGCATATCCGAAAAAACCGTAGCCGAATTCATCATCGATAAGCGATTAGGATGTGGTAATATCTCCGAGTTCAAGAGCGAGCTGGCCAGTCTAGGCTTTGCAAACTGGCCAGAAAGTTTATATGAGAGTATCGATCGTCTAGTTCGAACTATGCACCCCAAATTCAAGGGTCAAATAGAAGCAGAAACAGAAACAGTAGAAGAACACCTGCAAAGCCGGACATTCGAGGAGAAAGAAACACTTTTCAAAGGATTATGTATCCCAAACAAGCCAACCAATATTACGGATGGAGATGATATCGATGATACATTGGCCGCTTTAGAAGGCCTAGAAGGCAAAGCTAAGAGTGCGCGTTCCGAACGGGAAAGACCGACTAAGAAACGACTATATAGTCCTGAGAGGGAAGATGGTACGGATCTCAAACGAAAAAGAAAAGAGCGATATCGATCTAGATCCCGCGACCATCGAGACCGGGCTTACGATGACGATCGTGACTACAGGAATGGTCATAAAGAACATAGGAGTCGAAGGGAGGATCGCGATGGGCACAGGTCACATCGCAGCAGCTACAGGGATAGAGACAGAGACAGGGGGCGGAAGTACGATGACGAGGATGGCGATGACGATACCCTTCGACATGCACCAGAACCTGAGGTCGATGACTCACCGGTATTATACAAGGTTTACGATGGCCAGGTCACCGGTATAAAAGATTTCGGCGCGTTCGTTAATTTACACGGTGTCAAGGGCAAAGTAGACGGAATGGTTCATATTTCAAATTTAATCCAAGGTCAAAGGGTCAACCATCCTTCAGACCTTATCTCAAGAGGCCAGAACGTGAAGGTCAAAGTCATCAAGATCGAGCCGAACCGGATAGCCTTATCTATGAAAGACGTCGATCAAGAGACCGGTATGGACCTTGCACCACAAGCTCGAATACAGTCGGGTGCGAACATGGAGAGTCTTGGAAGTCGAAATGGTGTGGTTCCTCGCAACGATGACAACCTAGCTTCTCTTTCAAACTACACTGGGCCTCCGAGGTCACGAAAGAAAAGGATGACATCTCCAGAACGATGGGAAATCCGACAGCTCATTGCTTCCGGTGTTGCTAAAGCCTCGGATTACCCCGATTTAGAAGAAGACTATAATGCTACCCTGAGAGGAGAGGGCGAGATGGAACTAGAAGAGGAAGTTGACATAGAAGTTAGAGAAGAAGAACCCCCATTCCTCACAGGTCAGACAAAACAATCACTCGAACTGTCACCTATCAGGGTAGTAAAAGCGCCTGACGGATCGCTTAATCGTGCAGCAATGTCCGGGACGACATTGGCAAAAGAACGAAAAGAATTACGGCAACAGGAGGCTGAAGCTGCTGCAAAGGAGGAATCAAAGGTGGATCTTGCATCGCAATGGCACGACCCGATGGCAAATCCGGAAAGTCGAAAATTTGCCAGTGATTTAAGAGCTGCCAAAACCACTGCCGTAAAGCCTGAAGCGGTACCAGAATGGAAACAAGCGGTTGCGCCTAAAGACCAATCATTTGGTAAACGAACCACAATGTCAATCAAGCAGCAGAGAGAAAGTCTTCCAGTTTTTGCCTTCAGAAGTCAGCTCATCACAGCTGTCCGAGAGAATCAAATTCTGATTGTAGTTGGCGAAACCGGATCTGGCAAGACGACTCAACTGACTCAGTATCTCGCTGAAGCGGGCTTCACTAACAATGGTATGATTGGCTGCACACAGCCGCGACGAGTGGCAGCTATGTCTGTTGCAAAGCGTGTAGCAGAGGAGGTTGGCTGCCAGTTAGGTCAAGAAGTCGGATACACCATCCGGTTCGAAGACTGCACAAGCCCGGCAACTAAAATTAAATATATGACTGACGGTATGCTGGAACGCGAGATCTTGATGGACCCTAGTTTAAAAAGATATTCCGTTATCATGTTGGACGAGGCTCACGAGCGAACTATTGCGACCGATGTTCTTTTCGCCCTACTCAAGAAAACGGTGAAGCGGCGAAGCGACCTAAAGATCATCGTTACATCTGCTACCCTGGACGCCGATAAATTCTCGGCATATTTCAACGAGTGTCCTATCTTTACGATTCCTGGACGAACCTTCCCCGTTGAGATATTATACAGCAGAGAACCTGAGTCCGACTATCTTGATGCGGCTCTAGTTACAGTCATGACAATCCACCTTCAAGAACCTGCCGGTGACATCTTGGTTTTCCTTACCGGATCGGAAGAGATCGATACCGCGGCTGAGATATTATACGAACGAATGAAGGCTTTAGGTCCAGGTGTTCCTGAACTGATTATTTTACCAGTATACTCTGCGCTTCCTAGCGAGATGCAGAGCAGAATTTTCGACCCCGCGCCTCCTGGGAGCAGAAAGGTCGTGATAGCCACGAACATCGCCGAAACCTCGATCACAATCGATCATATCTACTACGTCGTAGACCCCGGCTTTGTAAAGCAGAATGCTTACGATCCAAAGCTTGGAATGGACTCGCTAGTCGTTACACCTGTTTCTCAAGCACAGGCTAATCAACGAGCTGGCCGTGCTGGCCGAACTGGTCCTGGCAAGTGCTTCAGATTGTACACCGAGGCTGCATTCCAGTCTGAAATGCTTCCGACTACTATCCCCGAGATCCAACGTCAGAACTTGGCTTCTACAATTCTCATGTTGAAGGCTATGGGTATAGATGATCTCCTCCACTTCGATTTCATGGACCCGCCACCTACCAATACCATGTTGACGGCCCTAGAAGAACTATACGCTTTATCGGCGCTGGATGATGAAGGTCTACTAACTCGTCTTGGCCGCAAAATGGCCGATTTCCCCATGGACCCTGCTTTAGCCAAAGTTCTAATCGGCGCGGTTGACATTGGGTGCTCTGACGAAATGCTCAGCATCGTCGCCATGTTGAGTCTTCAGACCATCTTCTATCGACCGAAGGAAAAACAGACACAGGCTGATCAGAAGAAAGCTAAGTTTCATGACCCACATGGAGATCACCTTACCCTCCTCAATGTCTATAACGGTTGGAAGAACAATGGATATTCGGCGCCATGGTGCTTTGAGAATTTCATTCAGGCACGTTCAATGAAGCGCGCGAAAGATGTGCGTGACCAATTAGTGAAGATCATGCAGCGCTATCGCCACCCCATCGCTTCTTGCGGCCGGGACACTCAAAAGGTTAGACAAGCGCTATGCTCAGGTTTCTTCCGCAACTCAGCGAGAAAAGACCCGCAAGAAGGATACAAGACGCTAGTCGAGGGAACACCAGTCTATCTACACCCGAGCTCAGCCCTGTTTGGAAAGCAGGCCGAATGGGTGATCTACCACACACTGGTGCTCACTACGAAGGAATATATGCACTGCACGACTAGCATCGAACCAAAGTGGCTTGTTTCGGCTGCTCCAACCTTCTTCAAGGTCGCGCCTACTGACAAGCTCAGCAAGCGCAAGAAGGCTGAGAGGATACAGCCTCTGTACAACAAGTATGCGGCGGAAGACGATTGGAGACTCAGTGCCCAGCGAAAGGTTGGACGGTCTGGTGGCGGAGGTGGTACGTGGGGATAAGGGGGAGAGGCTCCATCGGCAAGCGCTATTACTAAATGGCCTAGGTCGAGTTGTAATTCAGCGATTTCTTCAGGTTACTCTATTCAGGGGTGCACCTTTAGAGTATTGGTATGTAACATAAGTCCTGGGCCGCTTGCAATATAATTAAAATCTACGATACATTGTTGTCTCATGTTATCAAGTGCTGAGTAGCTAGTCACTTACTAATAGACGGCGGTTTTCACTGCGCGGCCGCCATATAACCTCTATTGAAACTCATGACGTAGCAAAGTCTAATAACCATATATGATTTTAGTAATTTTTTTTTTGCTCTTTAGGGCGAATACGAGAGAATATCAATCCCCGAAACAATCAACACCATGAAGTAGACTAGATTTCGCGTTTTAAGACCACTCCACTTCTCGATTCTCAGATTCAATTAGTCACAGATTTTCGTCTTAAATTTCTCGTTAGAATAGAAGGCTCGAGCCACGGGCCGAAATCAATAACTGCCCATTAAAAGAGCAGACTACGTGGGTTGCTCGGGCGTCGTCATCGTCAGTCCAATCCACGACACCGGATATGAGGCTTGAAACGACTCCTGCTTCAGTCCAAGATGCACCGCCTCAGAGTCGCAAGCCGTGACCGGAGCACTCTAAAACCTCTTGAAGGTCCGAGTTAGCCGACCGGGCGGCCTCAGGATTCTGAGTAGGCCGATGGTTACGGACCCGAGGCGCCTTCAAGCGACAAATCGGAGAAAATGTAACATCATCACGATCGTTAACGGATAGGATTATCAATAATTGCCTATGGGCTCTGATAGGAACATGAGGTAGTATCATTGTTCAATATCATAATTCTCACCGCTATTATTTCCGCAGGAAGTTCTGCTGGTCTCCGTGATATCGTATTCGATATCACACTCTTGTCGCCAATAACGACTCCTTTTTTAGCGAGAAGAATCCGTGAAAGGACCGATATATGAACTGATATCCCAATCAAGAGGGATATACCTTGAAAACGTAGCAATGAATCGCAACTGGAAGTTTTGAGGGCATCCAAATATGTTCTGTTTGTTCAAATTTGGCTTACTATGAAAATTCACTCTCCTCCCTTCGCTAGACCTCACCCTATCTCTCACCTCTCACCTCCGACTCAACATGCAGATATTGCAGAACAAGTCCAATACATCCACATATGATCGCCCGTTGTGTGACATAACCTAAGCAGCGCAGCGACCCCTACATCCAAACCCACAGCAATTAGGACACCGGGCCGTCGATGTCTCGGCACCAGGACGTGGGAGGCCAAGGATCTCGCGCGAGCGCAAGTCTCAGAAAGCCTCGAGGAGTTCGTAAGGTAGTATAACGACCGGTGCAGCGGCGCCAAAGCAAGCTAACTGCAGACATCCGACACATGCCTCAGCACCTCGACCTCATATCGAACCATTTTCTCTTTATTTTATCTTTCTTTTTCCCTCGCGTCGGCACCTCGACGCCCGTCAATATATTTAATATAGTGAGCACAGATATTAGGACCCGTTCTCGCACGAAACCTGGGAGGCTCGCAAATAACCAAGCAATAAAGCAATAAATCAAGCAAGCAAGTAGCAACGCATTACACTACCTCTCTCCCCTTACGTACCTTAGATGGGTAGGAAGTATACCCAGGTTGGGACGAGATTAAATACATCTCCCCTAGGCCCCCTTGTCCTCAATATACGCAGAGGTGACGCAGGGCTTCCCAAGTGGGATTTCCGGCAGCGCAAGGTGACGTGCGGGTAATATGGCGAGAGACAAAGAGGCGTGCCAGCGTCCCCACGTTCCATCCGCAGCCGCGTCGCCAACCCCAATCCAGCAACGCGGGCCCCGGCGTTTCGAGTAGAACGTCGCGGACTGCCGAGATATGGATGCATCTAAGGTGCGCCGAAGCTGGGATTCACCTTCGTAACGTGCCCTCTCCGCGGATCGCATTTAGAATACGCGCATGCTTTGAATGTATGTATGTATGTAGGTAGGTGAGTTAATGAAAACACCCCTACGTATCCCTCACGCGCGCGCAGATAGATACCATACATACCTACCTACCTACCTACCTATAGACACACATACACATGTACGCAAAGTGACCATGCAGCATGCAGGCACGGGACTTCGAATATATTGAAAGAATCGCGGTGAGCCTGCGACTGCGCCTGCGCGAAATAGAACCCCAACCTGCAAATCCAATCCCCAATCTCCAATCACGAACAAATGCATCTCTTATTTGCTCCAAAGGGACCAACCAACCAACCAACACATGGTCGATGTCCATAGGTAATATTGGGGATTTTAACCACAGCGCAGACCTTTTGCGCGATACCACCTCCTTACCCCATTTCTACCGAAATGCAGGTATAAATCACTGTTGATCCCGGATCCTCTCCAATAGTGGGGGTTGCGCTGCTAGCCTGCCGCTGTTAGGGTGGACCGACCTGTCAGGAAAGGTCGCTGGCTATAATGACGTCGATCATTTTACTTCAACCGGGCGACGCCAATTCGAAGAATGATGACGATCGCACTTGCATTGAGGGTCCACGGGATGTGCTGCGATCGGCCGGAATAGGCAAGCCCAGGCAAGCTTAATCCATCCACAGGCGCATTCTCATGTAATAATAAGGGTAACACAGTAACAGCCCTATGTCCAAGGAGGAAATGAGTATCACGAGAGCTGCACGAGTCGTCGCAAATATCACAAAACTATTCAACTTCGGGAATTGGAGATGTAGGAGAATAGAAGAATATCTTTACTTTATTTATTGGTTAGGTATTATAAAAATGCACCTATAAATCTAAACTGCGGTGCCGCAGGTGACTAAAATCATAATGAGTGGTATCCTAGTGGTATTCCTTAACATCCCGTGCTAATTACCCCAAACGCCAGTGCGCCAATAGTACCTATCCAAGTCGCAAAAAGGGGCGCGATCATGCTACAGCCGCCGCCGCCACCAGAACATCCAGGGCGGAACTTTGCGTGCCCGCCGTGGCGTTAGAGAAGGGTCCTTCCCAGCTAGCTCCCAGCTGGTTCTGCGCATTACGGTTCTTAGCCCATATCGTATCAGCGTTCGTAAGCAGGAAGTTCTTAATCGCATCCATGGGCGCCGCCTTTTGTAGGTAGTGCAAGTTCCGCATAAAGATACCCTTAAATTGCGATCCATCGCTTCCGCAGTTCGGCTCGCAACCGTCGGAAAGAATGCCATCTTTGCTGAGATGCGAGATAGCAGCCGCGGCGATGGTCTGCGCCTGGGTGAGTAGTGACTGATCGCCCGTAGCTTGGTGAAGCTCGACTAGACCACCTAGAATGACGCCCTGGTTGTAGGTCCAGGTCTGCATGCCGTTGTTTTTGCATGCGTCCGTGAGTCCATCATTAATAAGGTTATCTTTGTTGATCAGCCCGCTATTCTTAAACCAGTTCCACTGTGCCAAGGCGGTGTTCAGGAAATAATCTTTCCTAGCAGGTATCCGGTTCGCAAGAGAGGCGGCGACACTAAGGTAGAGCTCGTTCGCAATGGCGTTCGTGTACGTTCCAACCTTACTCCAGTAGATACCACCGCAGGTCGAATTACCCTTCTTCATATCCTCAAAGATTTCAACCGCAGCTTGAATATATTGCTGGTCTCCCAGCCCTTGAACGCCGAGGTCATGGCTGTGGATCATAGCTAGCGCCCACCATCCTTCATCGTCGTAGTAGTCGTTGAGAAAGTTATCGAACCCTCTCTTCTCGATTTCAGATCGTTTCGTTACCCTAGTGTATGTGGAGATAGGAAGACCTGCCACCGATAGGACCTTCGACGCTTGTACTTGCGTCTTCTGTGCTTGCTCATACTACGGCATAATGTTAGTGATTCTCCTTTATGCGAATAGTCCTGGCATGATCGATTTGCAAGGCCCGCAAAGCCTGTTTTAGGCGCAAATCGTTGCCAAGCAGATCATCAAAGGTGGTTTATTATGCCTTCGAATAAGGGCAAGGGTTTTGTTTCTGATATACTTACAGTATTTTGGATGATATCTGGGATATTTAGGCTATCAGAAGCACTTGGGTTCAAGACAGCAAAGTCGGCCAGCACAGTTAGACAATTGGCGCTATTCCACCAACCAGTGGTATCCCATAGACCTGTGTTGCGGTTGTACCAAGTCTGGAGAGTCTTCAGGCCATCGACGGTATGAGAGGCGTATGTTGCCGAGTCGGCGCGGTTGGTGATATGACTAGACATTAAGAAAATGGCTCTGGAGGCCAGAGACCCAATTACGGTAGAGGAAACCATGGCGAATGACCGAAGTGATAGACTTATTAGAAGGTAGGTAGAGAGAGAGATAGGAAATGTTTCATAGGATGGACACAGAAGTTTTCCAGAAACTTACTGCTGAAGGAAAGGAAACGAGAGAAGTATAAATAAAATAAATAACTACTAGTTACCACTAGGTAGAAGTAAAAAAAGAGAGAAGAAACTAAATCGCCACTTGATGAGTGCAGTGAATGGAATGTGACGGTCCACTGGATCTCATCCAAAGTAGATTAAGGGAGGTAGACGAGGATGCGCACCTTGTCATCAAACAGGCTGCATCCATCAGGCTCATCTGCTGCGGACGGGACTCACATGAGCTCATGGAGCCCCGGGCACGGTTCGGTTCGGTTCAAACATGTACCTCTAGTATAATACAAATTTCCAGACATGGGTTGTTTTGTGACCCGTAGATCACGAAGAGTCGACGGTACGTGACTGTGACTCCCAAGGTGTACAGCAAGTACTCTCTTGGCTTGGGAAGTTGGAACTCTTGGGGCTGCTTGGTACTCTTGGTTGCAGGTTGCAGGTTGCAGGTATGTAGGGCTGGTAGGACCGACGACAAGTTCTGTGCGAGCCGAAGCCAGCGGCGTGTTCCTGGGTCCCGAAAATGACGATCGCGGCATTTGATGATTGGCGATGGGCTGGCCACGGTATACAATGGGCAATCGTAGAAAGGGATGAACAGGTTTAGCAAGAAATGCTAGGTTATGTTGGGTTATGCCGGGTTTGGCTGATGATTAGCTTATTAAGATCTCCGATAGGGTTGTGACTTGTTTCAGAACAGGCATGATTCTCATGCTGGACATCCATGGGATGACGGATCCGATGTTGCATGACACCAATCAACCCTTTAGGCGGACCTGTTCAGTATCTGGGCAGCTAGGCAGCTGCTAGGTAAGTATTCACCAACTTTTCACCAAGAAATCCATGGATAATCTAATAAAATCCCCGGTACCGTCAGTGGCTTTTCTTGCAGGCTTTGCGGACTTGCAGGCTCTTGCAGGCTTGTCGTCCAGTGTCCACTTAGATTTAGATCTTGCCGAACCGGTTCCCCTAGCCAACCCCCCAGTCGACCCCTAGCCCCTTCGCGTAGATCATCTTTAACGAATCCGTTTCTGAAAATGCCATATGGTCACAGGAATGGGGAAAATGTGTGCGGGCAACCTCGTGAGCATTCCAATAGCCAAGACGACAATCGTCAATTGACCGCCATAACCGCTGAATCTAATGTTTTAATTCGATTTCTTCAAGAAACTAGAGAGCTGAAGGTTGAGTTGTTGGAAGTTGAGGAGAGTTTGTTTTAGTGGCACGTCTGGCCGGCGTTAGATGAAACTTCAGCGCTTATTAGAGTACCAATTTTAATGTATCTGAGTTTATGCAGCCCCGGAACATTGAAATTCTAGATAAATAGGAAGGAATAACATTTATCCAGCTTAGCTAGTACCCAGCTATGTACGATAAGAATCCAGGAACCCCTCTGCCCCTTAAAAAAAAGTTAACCTTCCATGTCTTCCCTTTCTAGCCTTACCTACCAAGTACACGCTAGCGGGTTAGTTCCAAGTTGGAGGCATACGGGAACACTGTCGCACATGAACAATAATAGCAACCTATTAACTCAAAAATCGTTAGCGCTGTGTGTATTTTGTGTACAGCGTACAATGCACTATGAGTATCTCTATCAATACATCGTATAACCCGTACCACGTTGTAGGGTCGGGTATTATCTAATAAAGTTTGGTTTGTTGGTTGGTGTTGCTTCCGCCTCCGCCTCCTCCCGCCTCCACACCCGATCCGTCTTACTGTCTTACAGTTTACTGCACACAACACAACACAACTCTGCCCGCAACATCTCTCACAGCTGCAACTAAAACCACATGTTATCCATATGGGATGCGCCCTGTATGTACGATGACGACAATGACGATGACGATGTCGCCTATATGTATGCGTGCCTTACCTTACAGCATGCAAGGACCTTCATACGCTGTCATGAGTTCTGATTAAACATTTATTGTTGCTGCATCCGGTCGCCCTTTTTCCAGGCGCGAGCAATAATTTGTTACTATCCGACTTTTGACAAATCACCTCTTCTCTTAATATCCTCATTAATTACTACCCAAACCCAGCTGACTGGGAACAGGTCGACAGCGACAGGGGGGTAACAAGAAATGCAGTTGTACTCCGAGAGAACCAGACCAACATCGTCTAAATCACGAAGCTTGGCATAACCTATTAGGTCATTTTCTATAGATCATATGTCTATATATCTCCGAAAGTCAGTTTCGCCGATTCTCCAACTCACTCTCAAATGATCGACATACAGCCTTTTTCAGCTTGGCCTTCGCAAGACAGCTCACAATGTTTTGGGGGCCATTCGCGTCATTTTGCTTTTGCGACTTCTTTCCAGGACATTTCCAAGTTTGCGAGGTGACAAACATGAACTGCTGCTTTTAGCAACAACATCACTAAGCTCAACATAATTCCCAGGTGACAAAGCTTACCAACGGTCTAGACTTCTCTCGTAGTTATGTCTCGCCAAGACTTCTACCGAGCACCGAATATATCCTTGGAATATCTCCAAATTTGCTTCTCCGCAGCGATATGCCGTTGAAGAATTCCTATCATTAAAATTAGGCCTCACCTCAGCTCCCCACAAACTCCCCGCATTCACGGGCTCTACCCCAGACCAGGGGCGGGATAATTACCTGAGGATGGATTAGGAAACCTATCCAGCCGCAATGGTTAGCTTAATTATTCCAATTGTCCGGGAGTTCGCTCTAAGACACTTCCGAAGATCGACAATATAAACAAGCTGCTTTATTAACAATATTCTTCAGAAGGTAGGCTAATATGCTCTCGTATCACGCGTCTAAATCTTGAAGTTGATTCAAGATGCTATCCCGGTTTTCCTCCAGCTTGTGTCTCATTCTCTTGTCCTTTTCTAGATGTGTCTGCGCGAAAGTGGTTGCAACCGAAAATGGAACGGCGCTAGTTATCCAGAATGACCGTCTATTCACACGTGTCGACAAGGCCTCTGGGGCCATGGATGCGATACTCTTAGACGGCCAAAACCTCCTAGGCACACGATCTGGATCTACCGGCATATTCAATTTAGACTGTTATTGGTAAGTCACGCCATGAAACATACAAAGTAACGTAACGTGCTGAGCCACGATCAAGTGTTCCCAGTGGCTTTTGGACTCCAGGATCGACGCGACCAACCTATGAGCTGTATGCCGGAACAGACTCTACGGGCACCGACTATGCCGGGATCAGGATGTCCGACACTTACACGCCCACTGGGCAGATTCTGGAACAGTATTGGTTCCTCAGAGACGGGGAGACTGGCCTTCATACGTTTTCACGTCTTGCGTATTACAACGAGACCACACCATTCTTGCGAAACCTTCAAGAATTCCGAACATTATTCCGACCGAACTCGAACATATGGACTCACCTCGCGACTAACGGAAGGCAGTATGCGCCGTTACCCGGCGCAGAGGCCGTGAAAAAAGAGGTCGTCGTACAAGGTAAGTAACCATTGGAATCTAGGTTGGACAAGTCCTTTGGCCATAGGCTCGGAGGAATATCTGTTTCAAGAAACCCCGAGACACCGTTACTCGTCCTTCCTCATACGTAATATCTCTATACTCGGGAAGTGCTAATCACGAGTGTTATAGATGCTACCTGGTACTTGGGAAATACACCTAATGATCCATATGTTCAACAGGAGGCCGACTACTTCACTAAGTACACGTTCCAGGATACTTGGAGAGACCATGATGCTCACGGGATGTATGTTGCATTTCCGTTAAGCAAGCTAGTACTATATTGACGTGACTCTAGGTACGCTGACGGGTCCAAAATCGCGGACAATTCAACATTCGGAGCTGTATGTTTACATTTTCCTTCGAGGTTTCATCAATCACATAGTCGCCAGAACACCGTACATGTCTCGCGACTTAGAACGAGATTTACCCTAAACGCTGCCACTACGTGTAGATTCTAATTCCTTCTATTATAGTGGATGGTTATGAATACGAGGGAAACCTACTTCGGAGGTCCTTTGCATTCTGACTTGGTCGTTGATGGAATCGTCTATAATTACATAGGTGAGTAATAGTATGCGATTTTAGAATATGATTCAGCGCCTAACTTTGGGTTCAGTCTCAAATCATCACGGAGACCAAACGGTAAATGAGCAGCACCCCGTTTACGTGACAAAGGCCGCTGACAGCTTAACAGCCAAACATCACCAATGGGTTTGACCGGACATTTGGCCCGGTGAGTCAAGAGTATCGAATGTGCGCTAGGATTTCCACTGACAAGATTAGCATTTCTACTATTTTAATCATTTCCCAGCCGGAACTGATCTCCAGGTCCTCCGAGAGGACGCTGTGAAACTTGCTGATCCGGAATGGAACGCCGACTTCTACGATTCCATTGCAAAACACGTGCCCAACTACGTTACCAGTAAACAGCGTACTACTTGGAACCTACAGGTAAACTTACCTAAGAATGCCAAAAACCCCATAGCTGTATTAGCACAGAATAGGGTAGACTTCCAAGATAACGTCTTAGACACCAAAGCCTATCAATACTGGGCTGACATCGATGAGAGCGGTCATGCCAGCATCCCACGTGTGAAAGCTGGCACGTACCGACTTACAATCTATGCGAACGGCATATTCGGGCAGTACACTCAAGATGATGTAACAGTGCGTGCCGGCAAGGTAGATACGACTCGGGTTAAATGGGTAGAGGAAAGCCAGGGAGTCGAAATCTTCCGTATCGGCACGCCTGACAAAAGCAGCGGTGAGTACCGGCACGGTTACGAGCCAGACTTGACGCACCCACTCCAACCAGAGCAGTACAGGATATACTGGCCAGTGCACGACTTTGTCAGCGATTTCCCAGAAGGTGTGACGTTCAGAGTAGGCGAAAGTGATGTGGCCAAAGACCTGAACTACGTCCATTGGAGCGTGTTTGGGGGCTATGCCAACTCCCTTCGCACCGAGGCTTACTACGGCGACGGCAATGTAAACAATTGGACCATCGTATTTGAGTTGGAAAAGTCCCAATTCTATCAGAAGCAGCAAGCGACATTCACCGTTCAGCTAGCTGGAGCCAAGACTGCCGCAGGAAACACCGACGTGTACAACGCTTCGGAGCCTTATTCCAATTTACCGTATACGGTTAATGTCAACGGAAAGGATCTCGCGCCCTGGATAATTCCGTACGTATATGCTTAGCGATTAATATTCTAGATTCGAGGTGACTAACAATTCTGCGGCCAGTTACTACCACAGCAGCTCTTGTGCAGTGCGGTCCGCAGTCATCTGCTATAACGTCGCGAACAAGTTTACATTCGACCCAGCCTTGCTCAAGGAAGGCGAAAATAAAATCGTCTTGAGCCTACCATATAATGCCACCGACTACGAGAGTGCGGTGCTGCCCAGTTCGGTCTATGTGCAGTACGATGCATTGAGGCTAGAAGTCAGCTCAGGGACGAAGCATGGCCATAAGAGAGCCACGTAAGGCATTTTAATCCAAGATCTTGGGGATCTATAACTAAAAATAACCTGAGAACTTATTAGCATTTAATAATCAAAGCATATTTCTTCTTGGCTTATTATCCACTACTCTATCATACAGCAGCATTCGCTATTGCTCATGATAACCCCAAGCAATCATGTAATGCATACTAACTGAAACTCGTATTGCTGTTGAGTGTCCTGAAACACTTGTTGTGGGCTGGAACTCACCCAGCAAGTTACGATCGAATCCGTAGCTACGTTTTTCGATGGGTGTAAGCGCTAAGGCAAGATAATTCAACCATTGCTCTGCACGGAGACAAGATTGGATCTTATATGGCTGAACAGATGGCCTAGGCGATCTCACCATACATATGTCCAGAGCCAGCACTGACACGTTTAAGAAACGGGATGGTCTTCAGCACTAGGCAGATCGAGAGTATGTAGGCATCACGATAAGTCCACCAAGGTTCGTTGATCCTACCCATAAGCATCCTTAGCCTTTCGAGCGTAGATTTGGGGTTGCTTCTGCAGGTATACAATATTGAACTGGCATAACGAAATCTCGAGAACTACCACTATTTGGTCGGACTGCTTCGCAAAGTCGGGAAATCCGCGCCGCAACCGGAACGGAGAACTAGCTATCCCCCTAGCGAGCCTTATCACAGGGTTCGGGATATCCGAAAATAGGACCCACGATTGTCAAGCCAGAGGTCTTGGAAACCAGGTTTATATTGACAGCTGCACGCCATACAAGTCCAGCAAACGTCATAATTTCTAGTACAACTCTGTATGGAATCGGTGATCCCTTGGAACGATTTGAAACTAGTCTCAGCAGACGAAGTCTTATTCGTTAATTGCAATAAATCTGTACGCAATTGGCTATCCCTTACGTAGCTCATCAGCTGAGACGTTCGTATACACATCCCGCCAATGACTAGAGGTCTACAGAAAATCTAAAGAGGAGAATGACTCGGCGATGTTCCGATAGGAAGAAACATAATATCAATCTGTTGTAACGAGATCCAGCAGCCAGGTCGAGCGAGTAAACGAGGGTTATTTATCATGTAGTGATACGAAACTACCCCCATGGGAAGTAATCCACATGCACGACTTTCAATACTAGCAGCTATAATACAGGAAATAAAAGGGGTAAAATAAATATAAACTAGGTAGGCTCCATTCTTCTTCTGCATTGATTAGCATATATACGCACATCTAACCAATAAACCTTCATAGGTCAGATTTTAAGCCAGCCTAGCTAGCTCTTGAAGCAATGTGTGAATAAGCATCTTATTAGGACGCCAACATATAGCAAACATCATATAACAGACGATCCAATATTCTCCTTTGCCCACGTATGATGTTACATCGAAGATACACAACCTCCGTTTCGGAGTGTTGATCGTATTGGCCAGCGGGTTCTTTGACGGTCTCGGGCATTTTTCGCGAGGCCGAAGCCGAACCTCTTTCTAATCTATCAACCAACAGTAAACCCAGGAACATCATAGGCCCCGCACTCAGATCCGACCGGACCGGGCATAAAAATACCTAGAACGGCTAGGAAGCTTTCTGGTCCTTATCGTGTATTGCGGCTCTGCTGTCTCCCCGCATCCATAGATGGCCTCGGTTGACTGTTCGGATCTGCATCCGGCCTAGATATAAATACCGTAACTCGCTAGCTCGGAAACGTTTCCGATCCTATATCGTCTTACCTACATCTTTTTTAATTTGATTTTCTAAATCATCTCGTTATATCGAGGTTACGTGGGAAGTTGTAGGTACTGCGCAATAATCCAACTTGTAGATGTACATCGCGATTTACGAAGACAAAGACAGCTAAGCCTCGAAGAGAATCTTGCCAACGTCATCTTCATCTTATCAAACCCAAAAACGAGAAAAGGCGAGGCCGACGAACCGTCAAGATGGGTCAGCCGAAGATTCGGATCACAGAGGTAAGCTAGACATTTCTCTGTCTATCTGTCTGTCTCACCCCTTTCTATCTTACCTACCTCGAAAAGAGGCCTCCCCTTTCACTCTCACGCAACCACGTGCATCCCCATCTTTACTCGCCGACCTCAAACTCACATACACACACCCTAAAGCTCTACATCTACCCCATAAAATCGCTCCGCCCCATCTCGGTGCCGACGGCACAACTACGGCGCGAGGGCCCGCGTCGCGACCGGCGTTTCATGCTGCTGAAGGACGAGGGAGGCGGTCGGTACAAGAACATCCAGACGGCGTACTTCCCGGAGTGCACGCTGTTCCAGCAGGCGCTGGACGGCGACGACCACGTCGTCGTCACCTACCGGATCCCCGCCGTGCCCCTCTTCCCCCCCACCCCCGAGCAGCGCGGCCAGCTGCGCGTGCCCTTGGACCCGGTCTACGACGAGTCCGACGTCGTCGACATCAAGCTCTTCGGCAGCGAGACCACCGCCTTTCGCGTCCGCGGCCCCTACGACGCTTGGTTCTCGTCCTGCTTCGGGTACCCCGTTATCCTCGTGTTCATCGGCGATAACCGCCGTCGCGTGCTAGCGCACTCGCCTCCCGCGCCCCCGCGCCCGACTAGGTCTTGGCTGTCGTACGTCCCGTTCACGTACCAATGGCCAGCGCAGGAGACTAGCTCGGCGGCGGCCGAAACAGGCGATGCTGGCCTGACGTTCAACGAGGCCGCGCCGTTCCTCGTGACGTCGAAGGCGTCGCTGCGCGACGTCAGCGCACGCCTGCCCGCGGGCCAGGACATGGACATGATTAAATTCCGGCCCAACATCGTCGTGGACCTCGTGCCCGACCTATCTCCGCCCACGCCCCCTTCCACGCCCCCTCTCGACGGCAGTCGCGGCGGAGATAGCAGAAAAGAAGGAGATGACACGACGACCCTGGATGCGTGGGACGAGGACTTCTGGTCCGAGCTGGTGGTCGGGGGTAAGCACCGGCTGGCGCTGACGGCCAACTGCGCGCGCTGCATCTCGATCAACATCGACTACGGCACGGGACGTCCGGGCACGGGCGAGTCCGGGTCGATCCTCAAGACGCTTATGAAAGACCGCCGCGTGGACACGGGGAACAAGTGGTCGCCCATCTTCGGACGGTACGCGTTCCTGCTTCCGCGGGGTGGCGGACGCAGGGAGCCGGATGAGGAAGATGAAGATGAGGATGGAGAGGACATCATCGCTGACGTCGCCGTGGGTGACGAGGTCACGGTGACCCGGCGTATCAGCTCGCGAGACGTGTGGGCCTGGCCGAAGTGAAGCCGCCCCAGTCAGTCAAGTCAGTCAGTCGAATCATCCCGCCGTACGGCCGCGGCCCGGGGGAAAAAAAACAGTGTTCGCCTGTCGTAAGCTGCTGGTCGCCTAACCAACCCCATCCCACTCCATCCCACTCCAATCGTATCAAGGAAGCAAAAGGAAAATCTTGGAACCGGATCGCGAAGAGAGCCAAACATCGCGGTTCCGCGGAAACGCGAGGAAAAAGAGAAGGAGAAAGCGAGGATCGCCGGATGGAGCCAGCGATTCACCACCCACCCCTTATGGCGTCAGCGAGCAGCGGGACCCTTATCCTGTTCTACACCTACCACCGACCAGGTACGCATACATACATACATACACACACGCGCGCACGCGCACAGCCCACCGACAACAACAACGACACAAGCCCTGCCAGCTGTCACCGACATACCTAGCATCCATCCAATCCAATCCGCTCCTCTTCCATATACGTGCGAGGCGAAAGGGTGTGGCGGAGGGGGGTGTGGATTAGGTATACGGTAATGTACGTATATAGACAGTTGTCGAACGACCGGATCGCGATCGAGTTACATCCGGCGGACGGGAAGCCAAACAATCTCGCATCATCTCGGGCAGATAGGGAGGGCCCGTCGATACCGGGCTACAGGTAGCGAGGCGAGGCGAGGCGAACGACGGAAAACATTGGTCGTACCCATCGAGGAGAAAGCGTGTTCCTAAGAGTCTGTATGTATGGTATGTATGTATGTATGGCAGAAAAGAAGGGAAGGGGATGGGAGAGGATGGGAGAGGATGGGGATAGGGATGGGGGGAAAACCTAAAGCGGCAACCGGATTAATATGACGATAGCGACGATGATGAAATCGGAAATGGGACTGGGTATGTACTATGCATGCAATGTACGTATGTCATGCGTGCGTGCGTGCGTGCGTGCGTGCAGATCCATACGAAATGCACGATGAACGATGTACGATACGATGTACGATAGAAAGAAAGAAAGGAACGAAACGAAATGTCGCCCGAGAATTTTCCTCCCCCAAATCCCCATCCTCCCCCCCCACGGTCTAAGCAGCAGCAAGCCCTTCAAGGCCTAGCTAGGCTGGACTGGGGGCGGTAAACCGTTGGCTTGCATGCTGTGTCCCCCCAACGCGGTCTACCGCTACCGTCGACTACCGTGTACAAACGACATACCCAATCTTCCAAACCCTCCCAATCTTCCCCAATCCTTCCAACGGAACCAGCCTCCAATACATGTTCTAAAATGTTCCAGAAGCCGACGGGACCTTGCAGCACTGCCGCGTGTGCGAAAACGCGTGTCCCCACGTTGCACAGCGTTTGTATTAGGGTATTAGTTAAGGGGGGGCGCGCGCGTAGGTAGGTAGCCCTGCCTAACTTCAGCTTCCTCGTTGGGCCGCACGCAGCAGCCTCAACTTTGACTTCATACCTTACCTGGACCTGGGACCTGACCTGAACCTGACCTGAGCGTGGCCCGGCGTAAGCTAGATCGAGCCATAAAATCAAACACGCGCGAGTGGACGAGCGAACGAGTACACCTAGCAACACCTGGCACCTGCAACGTGGCATCGAAGCCCGACCTCTTGGATCTATCTGTCCGAAACCAACAAAAAAACATCTCTTTTTCTCTATCTGGTAGTAAGGTAATGAACATGATCGAGGTATTGGTTGTACTTGCGTACTGGTTTTTCTCTTGCCATAATTTTCCTTTTTTGGTTTCCCTTCGCGCCGGTCAAAAAAAGCATCGGGTGAAAAGGGAGAATAGGTAGGGAGCAAGGGACTGAGGTAAGAGGAAGTCTGCTCGCGTACTGTGTCGCCGTTAGGGGAGTTGACTTTTCCTTGCATCCGTTGCGCCCTCATTTTGTACGAGATAAAAAGGACAGTGAAACCAGATCCATCGTAAATACACAATACAACCGTTTCCAATCCACAAATCCTGCAATCGTAATAATCTTTTTTTGCCCCATTCGCCATCCATACTGTTTCCATTGGTACATTCAAGGAAATGAAATAAAAAGAACCAGGTCTATGATGTGGAAACGCCGACCTTCACTGGCAGTACTGAGATTCCTGCACTGTCCAGAACTCCGAAAAAGACCGTACCGAGAAACGGGGAAATTTAGGCGACTCGACACTCCGAGCGGGATGAGAGGACACCTAAGTTTCCTACAACAAATACAGTGTCTATGGGGGGGTGTACATGAAAGAAATCATAACCATGAATGCCGTCAAACAAGGCTAAGGTGTACCGCGTACAGCCTGTGACAACGGTGTAACACTTTGTCGGGAAAGTGATCTATCTCATCGGGATCTCGACGATTGGATCGGGATGCGCTGTGGCTCGTTGAGTGGCTGAAGAAACAGGGAATGGAAACGTGAAATGCTCATCGAGAGGGCAACGGTCCAGACCAATAGGATCTATTTTGCCTGTCGTGGCCTACGACCTGCAGGATCTTAGCGTCCACGACAAGGGGGGTCCCGCGCCAACTTCCGGATATCGATGGGCAATTGCGTGTTTCGAGAAACTTTTTCCTTGTCGGGGGTGTCGAAAAAAAAAATCATTTTTTCCCGATGTAAATCCCAACCCATGACGCCGGATGAAGAGATTCCCCTCCAATTGAAAAAAGTGAAGCTCGGCTTCGAAAGAGCCGAGACCGTTGGAATTTTCTTCTAAATTGGGGGCCATATTAACACTCTGATCATCTCGCTTGTCATATTTAAACAATAGACCATGACATATGAGACTTGACAGATAAGTTTTATCGAGCTTACCTCAATGGTAAAATCCAGTGACAACAGCGCAGCCCGGACCGGATCCCCCGTGCTTAGCAGCTGTGTACGCATGCCCGGCACGTGTGGAGCTTGCAGTATCTACATTCGAAAATCCACCAGTGCGGACCCGAATGACACATATGGCAGGTCCATTGGATGAGAGTGCTGTCCGACTTCAGCATCTTGAAAGAGTGTGCGCAGTTGTTTCCCACAGCCATGTTTGCGAGATGTGGTCAAGGATGTGTGCTTTAGCTGAATTTCCGACTGCCGGGATCAAAGTGAGTGAGTACCAGACGGCTGGATGTGGCGGCGGTTTTGCTTAGTCTACCCTAAGTTACGGGTCAGCCATACGATTCAGATTTCATGCGATCTACGAGTTGTGGTATTAGTGGTGTGGAAGACTTACAGAGATGTGAGCAGGGGAGTGGTGTGGACAAGGTAGTCAGTCGATCTAGCGTGATGAATGTTCGCGGCGGTTGTACTATGTGATGAGTCGTCCGAAGACTGGGTTTTGTGAACTGTCTGCGGAATAGGGGAAAGAGAAGGAGAAGCGAGAGTATGTGTGAGAGTGTATGTGGGAGTCTGTAAGTGTAAGTGTGAGAGTGTGAAAGTGAGGGAAACTATCGAGGGAAGGAGGTTCAAGATGCGATGGGGAGGTAGGCGTTAAATAGTCAGGCCACAGGTATCAAGTCAACGAACGACCTTGAGGTCCAAACAGAATGTTGGGTTGTCTGATTTTGTTTGCCAAATGTGGGTTTTGACACGGGAGGAAGAATGAGAATAAGGAGGCTGTTTGTAAGTTGGTAGGGCTGGCGAGAATCTGGTAGATTAGGCGAGGCGGAATGGATATTTTGTATCAAAAGGTGAAACCAGAGAATAGGCGGTAAAAGCTCAGATAATAAAATAAAATGAAATAAAAGAAATGTGATGTGTAACTATTCGTTCGTAGGAGATGTCGTTGCAGGCATGGCATGGAGTTGCCTCCAGGGAGGCTCAAATACTATGTAAGTAAGTACAGTCGAGAGTTCCATCGACGATGTCTAACCCTGTCCTATGACGATTGTCACGATTGTCGGCACCGCTCCCGCGAGGTCCATAGTAGGTAACTCGGCACAGGGGCTAAGCAGCTTAGTCGGTAACCTTCCAGAGAGGTAGGGGACCCGGGAATGAATGGAAAGGATAGAAAATGAGTGAATCTTGGGTGACTTGGGTGACTTGGGTGTTTTAGGTAGTTTGGGTGATTCTGGCGTCTTAGAGCTGGGTGAACTGGGTGAGCTGGGTGAGGTGATGGACAACATTAGACAGGAGTCGGGGTGGGAACTTGGAACTCTGGCATATCGTCTGAGAATTAGTCCATGTAAATGGTAAGTGGATTTTTTCGAAGAGCGATCAATCTTCTGCGACATGGGCCTGGATGCGGTTTTGACTTTTCGACTATTACGATTTCCCACTCCCAATTAACCTTTGAACCTTAATACTTAATACTTAACATACATTAGTAGGTAGCTCTAGTATACACAGTACCTGGATTCATGTACAATACTTACACATTTAGACCTAGCACCAAACAAGCACCTAGACTTAGCCCGGCCTAGCCATCAATTAGTATGTATCCATACTAGGTATGGTACTAGGTATCGGTTCAAGTGGATTTGGGATTGCCAATGTACCTACGTACCGACGTACTAGTATATATACACCCGCATTTAATTGTACATCTACGAAGTATTAGGTAGGATATTCACTTTGGCAGGTACCTCTCACTGCGTACACATTGGATGCGTACATGCGTACCTATTTTCCTACGTACATACGTACTTCATGCCTGCTTTAGGTAGGTTAGAGGGTAACTGCCTGAACCGGGACCGTGTCAGACCTTTTTTTTCTTCTCTCTCTTTCTTTCCTCTAAAATGTCGGCTTCAAACTTCCTACCTAATATGCAAGTTGAACTAATAACTAATAAATAACAGCATTTAGACTAGGTAGGTAGGCGATACATTGCAGCTATGTAATGTATGTGTGTATGCAAAATGACAAAGTACCCGGTCATTTTTGTATGCTGTAATGTTGTAATGTTGTAAGGTTGTATGCGGGTGGCTTGACGAAAGAAATTCACCCACTCACGTCAAAGAATATATATAAAATAACACAGATAAACGAACGGTTGTAAATGGTTGTACGTATGTATTGAATGTATTGGAATTTATTTTTACTCTAGCGACTGTATTACGGAGGAGAAATAATTTAAAAAAACAATAAAGCAATAGAGCAATAGGATTTGACAGCGAGTGACGAACCACAATGCTTCTTTGGGAATGAGGGCCTAGGCACTGACTTTTTGAGTGCGCATGGGGTATGACACGACATGGAACGACAACGGCTTTTCTTAAAGGTTGTGGATTTCAATTTCGTCAATTAATATTTGAATTGTTTTCTATTGCCTCTTTTTTTCCTTGTTTTTCTCGTTCTCTTCATATGGATGTTGCCGTTGCTCTCTCTACCTGGTCTGACTACCTGCAGAACCAAGACCGGTCTGCCGTACGATGTCAGTTAAAAAGATGGATGTAAGTCGAGGGTCGAGGGTCATGTACCTTTTACATCTCTCGAGTCTTCTACATAACATGCCTCGGGGGACGTATAAGCGTTCCCAAGGTCAAGGTCTAGGATTGGACAAGGTAAAGGCGTACAAAAAGGATTCCTAGCAACAATTTTTCAATCGTTGTGAAATTCAGTCACAATCTGGAGCTAGCGGACGGCACATAGACGGAAACGTATTGGTCTTATCCTTCACCGGTCGGCTCTCGCCGCCTACCCCTACCCTACCCAAACTACAAAAATTGCCGAATCAGTCACCAGAGAGGACTTTACCGGTGACCATGGCTCTCCTCTCCAGTACCTCGCGTAAAAGTGCTCATATATATAGATATATGTCTATGTACGGTGGTTTGAGCCTAGAAACAATATAGAATCTCAACCAAACGCATATTATCTCTGGTCTCCCGCACTCGATCGGAGACAATCTAGTTCATCTAGTCAATAATATAGTTCCGCAGGACGTAGTAATAAGGTCAGGCAGGCCAGGGGCGTTGAGGCTACGGAAGCATGTACGTGTTTTGGGAACCATTCATGCGCCAGAGGCAGAACATTCGAGCTGGACCGGACAAGACGAAACTCTGGCGCAGTTCGCAATCACCGGCACGGTTCGCCAAGTCCACGATTGTCCATGTCTGATTCCTTAACCGCCGCCGCCATCTATTGGCTGCTCGACTGGTGCTGTTCATCACTTGGTTATATAATAAACCTCTCTATACCCACGCAGCGTCGCCTTGAGAACGGGTCCGGGGGTCACATTACTCGCGGGTGGAAGTGATCAAGTATCCGTAAGTAATAGGTATAACGTGTTAACGTAGTCCTTTGAAGGAAACATCCCGATGTGCTACCTGAAGGCGCATCAGCTCGATTTTACATGCGTGCAAGATCTGACTGCGACACGAGGTCCATTGTACGTACTCTGTCTGCTTCTGAGTAGTATACGGATTGTTCTGTGATACTTCGGAGTTATGGTTAGTCGGTATCAGTAAGAGCTAAGGTCCTCTTCAAACCAACGGCCCACCTGGGTAATTAGGGACTATGTAAGCGTCGAGAGGGATTTACGAAGTAAGAGTCAGGATATAACAAGGCATGAAGAACCCGATCGTTTGGTTTAGCATTCTACAATGCACTGTAAGTAAGTATGAGTGGTGTAACACGGGGGAGCGAAGAGAGTCCCAGGTCTATTGGACAGAAATGTTTTATAGCTGACTAAATTAAAACATTTGGTGTGAGAATCTTACATATTGCGTTTTTTTTAAACTCCGTAATGGGTAGCGAATAAATGGATCCCACCATCTTGGCCCGGTACTTGATCATGTGAAGAAAAGGAGACGTATGTATACTATACTTATCTAATGAATCTTGTGCTACCTACTGTACGGAATCGCGAGCAATTTCCTTCAATGTTTTGTCAACTACCCACCTAGGTATGTGTAATAGGTACAGAAATGATAAGAAACTGATGATCCTGACCGATACTGACTGATAGTTGTACGACCCGCGGGTATTTAAGGCTTTCCGCAAAGCGCGGGGTGATTTGCAGACCGACAGCCTCCGGAGGAAACTTGGAACTTGAGGTTTGTAACCGGTACATCCATAGATGGATTTTGCGGTCTTACATAGCAGCTGCCAAGACAGGGACTTGCCTGTCAAAATGCGCGAATGGGCGAATGCGCAGTTACGTAGGTACATATGCAAATACCTAGGTAGACAATTGATTTACCGTGCATCATATGTACCGCATACATCGATTGATAAGGTATATGTATGCAGGCAGAGTAGGTAAGTGAATTGCATGATATTTCAACGTTTTTAGATATTTTGCTCAATTGATTTTACTCAGGTACATTGCATGGCATGACATTACATACTACCCGACA